CTAAAAAAGGAAGTTATTTAGATGATTACACAAAAATGTTTAAAAGTTATCCTAGTCCATTATAATATTAATCATACTCCATACAAAAAGTCCCAGATAAAAATGTTAAATATCCCAATCGATTAACATTATTTGATCAATTATAAAAGGAATAAAAAAGAATAAATAATCCTCCAGTTGGAGCTTATAATATAGAAAAAACATAAGAGTAAATAGAAAAAGAGCTTAAAGTATTAAAAACTCGAAAAGTCAAAGCACTTTAAAGACCTGATCCCTATGAAGATGCTATGGCTCACAGCATTATGGTTCCTGGTCCTGGAAATTATAATCCACATGTGAGATATTCAAAAATTATAAAAGTCATTCCTACCTAAAATCAAAGTCAATAATACAAAACCTGAGGATTGGAGAAAAAAACATAATATTGAAAAAAATAAAAGTCTTCCTTAACTTCCTCCTGTTGGAACATATACTCCTATTCTTAGTGATTCTTTTGCAAAGATTTAATGTACTGCTCCTGTAAAAAGATCTTATTGGGGAAGTGCAAAAAGATTTAAAGGATTATTTGGTAATTCCTCTATAGGTCCAGGTCCTGGAACTTATGCTTAATTAAGTAAATTAATAGCAAAAGGAGTTGAAAAATCTATTTATCAAGATTGAAGTATTCAGATAGTATTTTTAATTTTAATAAACAATTATATTTTTTTATGTTGAGCAATTTAGTATATATTTTTTAATAAAATTTTATTAAGATATTTGTTATAAATGATATATGATATTTAAATTATGAAAAATTAGAGAATATCAAAAAAATTGAATAAATGCGAAATTGCCATTAATAGAATCAAATCCAAGTTTAGAATGAGCACCATTTTAATAATTTATTCTTTTTTCATACTTGCTTTTACTTTTGCAAATCTTGCTATATGTTTAAATTTGTAAATCACTCTGACAAGCAATCAAATTGAAGAAATCTCTAATTAGTAATTAAAATTACAAAATTCCAAGTGAATTTCATATTATAATATAGAGCTTTAAATATTCAATCGTAAGAGACAACTCATTTATTTCAAATAGCTTTTCAAATGGCAATTTCAAAAATGGAAAAATTAACCACTCTTAACTTAATAACGTCTATTTAAGGAGTAGATACAGTAAAAAACATATCATCTTGTCATATGGCTTAATAATTTGATGATTCAATTTAATAAGTTACTCTATGCCTCTCAAATTAAGCAACATAAGAATAATAAACAAATTATAGTAAGCAATTTATTTCATTCCTCAATGTTTTTGAAAGTCTTTAGTAAATTTTTGATTTCCCTATAATTTCTAAATAATTATATTTAGTTTCTCCTTATGATCACTTCTTAACAGCTTATTATCCAATAAAATAAAAAAATGAAACAAAAGAATTAGTTTAATATGACTGGTTTATTAATTATACAACTGAAATTTAGTAAAGTTAAAATCCATCCTTTTTTAAGCTTATTCCTTATGTAAAGTTATAAAATTATGAATATTTATTTGCAGCATTAACTATATTAATGATTGATAAAAATTATTAAATCAATGGAATTGGAGTGTAGATTATAAACTTTCCATTACTTTCTCGTATTCTATTTATTGAGAATTTAAATATTATTCTAGTCTATGAAGATGGTAAAATTATGTACACATAAAGTTATATTAATAATGGGTTAGAAAAAGAAATAAGATATATTTTTAATGAAACTGTCAGTGGTTTTAATTATTCTGATTGGGAATTGATAAAATATTCACTCAATTTAAATTACTCTATTTAAATATATAATAGATTATTAAATTAAAATGTTTATATTAAAGCTAAGTAAATTCCAGATACTCCTTTAATATCATTGATGTATAATTTTTAATTTCTATTTAGATTAACTAATATAACATATGAAAATGAAATATAAAAGCTACTACATGAATAGATAGACTCAATATAAAATTGGTAATTAACATTAATATCTTATTCTACACTTGCAAGCATTCTAATAATTTTATTAAGTTTAATTCCTTTAAGATCTTTATTTAAACCAACCTAAGTTGTAATAGAAATGATGATTAAATATTTATTGGGAAAATTCGATTATAAATTGAAAGATCAAGTTATTAGAGAGAATGAAATATAAGAAATGAATAATGTTATTAATTAATTTTACTAAGCCTATTAAAGGGTAGATATTACATTAAATTAATCACAATACGTTAAAAATGAACATTGTATGCTTATTGAAAAATTCTATTATTAATAGAATATAGGTTTTATGTTAAATCTTTCATTTGAAAATCTAAAAAATAATAATGAATAAATTAGTCTATCTGAATTTTAAAAATTTATAGCCATATCAAATTTTGTTGTTGGTTGAAACCATAATTTGAATCAATTTGTATATATATCTTTATTGATTTTTATGAACAAAATTAAACAATATATATAATTTAGTTATTGCTATTATATTTTATAGTGTTTATTTGAATAATTAATTATTTCTTCGGTAATAATTTTAAAACTTATATTACTCATTAAGGTATTTAATTAGAAAATATTATCTTTAAATATAATGTTTATATAACTGAATTCTAAATATTAAACATAATCCATTTTTAATATTTAGTAATAAATAATTAAATTTTTTTAATTTCATAAAATTTTAGAAAATTTATAAATCATAAAATTTACTTTAAATAATTAATGTGTATGTTATAATTAATAATCTCTTAAGCGTTGATTATAGATTAAATTAATAAACAGTTATATTCCTCATTCTAATTTTGTTCTAATTTTCATCTGATATGAAGAAAAGCGATCCTAATTCAAATAAATAAGATTTTATAATAGATTAATACAAATAAATCAGACACTTATACAATTTTTATAAAAATTGACAATATTTAATATACAAGTAAAAATCAATCAAAATTATATTTTAATAAATGCAATAACTAATTATAACATTTATCTAGATTTTCCTAATAGATATAAATAATGTATTCATACTTAATTTAGTGGACAAAATGTAGGCATGAATGAATTAAAGTTTTGGTCAATCCAAAAATAGGCGAAATATAATTATTTTTTATCAAATTTCTTTATTGAAGTACTCTATTCATTTTCATTGGAATGAGGTTTCCAAAATTAATTACTTTATGTTTGATTCATGTTTTCAGTAGGACTCCATCTTTTTAATATAGGTAAAGCGGAATAAGATCTCTATTTTTAGTTTTATTCAACATCAAGAGTAACTTTTTTTTTTTATTTTTAATTTTTTCCAACACCTTAATTATCATTATTTTTTCTTTCTACATCCATTTTCTTAATTAATTTTTAATATAAATTTTCCCTTAATGTTAAGATGAAAATATACTTATTGTCATTCTCAAAATTTTCAATTATTCTTATATATGAAGTATTCTAAATATTTTATGGTTTATTTTATGCTATGTTAGGTCTTTATTCTTTTATTTGATTATTCTGAATATATTATTTTTCATTTGATTAGTTCTTAGCAATGAAGTTTTATTTAGATGATGCAAATGATTATTGAAGTTGTTATTACTATTTTGAAGGTTTCATTTTTAAAATAATTAGTTCGAAATTAAATTTATAAAAGTTTAAGTATAATAATTAAAATGAGTAATTTATTTGAATTAAACATTTATCTAAATAATAAAGAAGAATATACAATTAAATATATACTAATATTTATTTTTTAATGTTATCAAACATACAAATCCCTTCTAGTTGGGAATGGTTTTTGAACCTTAAAATTAAGTTATGTTTCAGGTTTATTTTAAAGTATTGTTTCTATTCTAGTTTCAATTTCAGGGGTAATTAATTTTATAGCTTATATTGACTTAAAAGTTTCTTCTAATTATTCAACTCTTGATGCTGATGTAATGGCAGTACTAACATCTTTATTTTTCAAAGCCCAAGCTAATGATAGTTAGGCTTATGTAATATTAAGTTCTTTAGCTAAATCACCTAATTACTTTAATTGTGACTAAACTTTAGCGGCATCTTTTTATTTTATAAATATAAATATAATACATTCTGGATTTCCTAATGTTCTCTCATAAAAACTTTTTAAATAAGGATTATCAGTATTCTTAAATCTACCATCTGCTAAAATATCTTCATTATATTTTCCTGTTAAAATTCCTTAATATAATGGTGACCAAATTGTAGATCCATAACCTTAAGCAAACACATTATTATAGCCCCATTCAAATTTATCTCGAACTAGCATATTATATTATGGCTATTCGGCAACAGGTTTGATAAGTTTTAATCTATCACATATACCTTTTTATAATGTAAATATATTACCTATTGCTTCTAAGATTTATTGAGCTGTCCATTCACTAGTTCCCCAATAATGAGCCCAACCATGTCTAACTACCCAATCAAATGCTCTACAAACCTCTTCCAAAGGAGTTTGTGGATCATACCTATGAGCAAAGACAATGTCAACATATGTTAAATCCAATCTCTTAAGTGAATTACTTAGTCCTATAATTATAATGAAAATAGATACCTTCAATAATATGTTTTCTTGAAAGAAATCTGGAATTTGGAAAATCATCTTAAGCTGTACCAAAATATATCTTTGTGCTGATTACAATATCTTGTCTTTGGACATTAAGTGTTTTGAGAGCACTTCCTAATTGTATTTCTGCTTTTCCTTTTCCATAACCTTCTGCTGTATCGAAAAAGTTAATTCCTAATTCCCAAGCCTTTTATATAATTTTAGTATTTCTTTCTAAAGTTTCATTATCATCTGCATTTAGCCAATTACCAAATCCAATTGCAGATACTTTGAGTCCTGTAGATCCTAATCTTCTGTATTCCATTATTTTATTAAATATTATCAATATATATTATTGTTTATTAAGATTGCATTCTGAATTCTTAAATAAGAATAATGATATTATTAAATAATACTTTACTAAGTGAAATTAATTAAATATAATCAATTTTCTGCAATTATTGCACATTTTATGATGTCAATACATTTATGTTCAGTCTCAAAGTGATTAAATATTGCTAAAGCCTAAATATAATTTCATATTTACATCTAAATATTAAGAGATGCCATTTAATTCTTTTATAGAACTCGTATAAATGATATCATCTAAAATATCTTAAGCATCAGATATTTTATATCTATAGAAAATATTCTATCTTACATGTTTACCAATTTATGAATATATAAAATTTGTTAAGTGTCCAACTATTGTTTTTATTATACCTGAATGATAATAATCAAATATTTTTATTATTTAAGAATCTTAATTTATTAATCCTTAAACAATAACTTTTACTTCAATAGCATCAAATTAATTTAATTCAATAATCTCTTTAACACATCTTAGATACTATTTATATAGCCATTTACAATGATTTCCTTAAGCAAAAAAAAATAAACCTTTTAAAGGATGTTTATTGTCATCAAACCAACTCTTTAAACTAATTTCAGCTTAATCAATCATATTTTATGCTTTTTAAATCTAATTTAAAAATTAATATGATTCACATTATATTAAATACATAATTGAAATATATGGATGAACCATTTACTATTTAATTGGTAATATTTTTAAATATCCATCAATTGCTCTTTAAGCACTTTATGAAGTCCAATTATTTATTAACTTTTTATTTAATCCAAATTTTGATGCTTGAAAAATACTTAATTAAAAATCCAAAATTTTTAATCTATAATCAATTTCAGTTACATCTGCCAAAATATTTAATTTTAAAGAATAATATGCTTATTATTTCTTTTCTTCATTTTATATTTTTTATTTAATATCATCAACTTAATTAGTTGGATCATCTATAAGTTTCTCTACCAATGTAAAATCTTCAACAGATTATAAATATTTAAAGTATTCAGCATATATCATCTAAAGATATGAAATATGTTATCTATTTTCTAATCCTAATTACAATTAAAATAATAGATTAATCTTAGGTACATTCTATTCTAAATTAATTAATATTCTAATATGATTCAAAATAGCTTCATTGATAAAATCATTATTAAATAAATGAATATAATCTGAGTCTGCACTTTCATCTATTAAATATTCATATTCAAGTATTTATAATTGTTTTAGAGTTGCATTTATAGGATATTCTCTATGCTATAAAAATTAATTATATATATATATTACTAAAACATCATTCATAATTGAAATTATGATCTTTTCCTATTTAAGAAATGTATTAATATATTAAAGAACTTTATGAGAGTATTTTAATGCATTCTCAAAGTCAATCAAATTTATATAATATTTACATTAAAAATAGGCTAATATTGCATATATCAACGTTCCCTCTTTGTAATCATTTAATTTTAGTCTATAATAGTTAAATAAATTATTATAAATACATAAATTATTGTTTTGGTTCCATTTAACCAGTCATTGAATTAACAACTTCTAAATAACATTTATACAAATCAAAATATCTAATTAAATTGGATTGATTCTTTAATTGTTATATAGATTCTTATAATATTTCTTAAATTAAAAAATAGTCTTGATTCATTAAGATATTAAATAATAAGTATTATGAATGAAATTTAGGATCATCAAAATATTTAAAATCGTTTGTGTATTCATATAAATATTTTTGTGGATAAGGAATATATTGATTTGAATCTTTATAAAGACTTTCTACAATCTATAAATCTTGTTCAAAACCTGGATGGGTTCTATGGAAAATGAAGGCTTACGATTATAGTAATCTAGATGTGAAACAATGTATCAAATCAACAATCTCTATTTATTATAAATAGAGAAAGGTATGAAGTAAACCCAGAATTATTATAGAAGGTTAAATATCATCTGTTATGATATCATCTATCATCTATATTGAGTTTTTTAAACAAGAATGTTATTTAAGACTGCAATTCAAAAATTAACAAAATATTTAGTATTATTAATATTTAGTAAGGGAAGAATCTATCAAAAATTATCCAGCCTATTTATTATTTATTTAAGTGCATTTTAGTATTTAACAATAAAATTTTGGTTTTGATTAAAATTTTTTGATTTATTACACAGCATATGTAGCAATTTCAGATTCTCCTTAACCAAGATTTTCAATATGTTTAGGTGAATATGTAAAACAAATAGATAAAAAGTAAAACATTTGGATTTCTTCTAAACATTATTAGAAAAACCAAGAGTCTTTCTTTATTTTAAATAGATTATGATATTCTTGCAATAATTTTATATATGAGATTTTGTTCGAAAATTTAATTTACTTTGTTTTTATTTATTAAGGGATGGAATGACTAATAGGTTAAAAGTTATCTAAATGTAAGATTTATTAAATTAGTTTAATTTATACTAAACAATTATATGAATCAAATGTAATAGGTAATTTACAATTAATTTTAGAGATAAGTAATTTTCTATTTTCTAATGTTCGTTCGAGATTTGAAAAAATAAGTAGTTATCTTTTTATAATTTCATCATCATCAGAATAAAAGAGATGTAAATATTTATGTATACATATTTCTTACCATTTCATAATATTGATACATAAATACTTACCAATTTCACATTTCATTTCTTCCTCTAATTCTTGTTCTGTAATATCTTCTTTTTTTAACAATTTTAATTGATTTTAATAATATTTAAATACAGGTTCATATACTCCATTTAATTCCTAAAAGTCATTGTAATAATATTAAAATTATTCATTTTTACTATCATAAAGATTAATTAAATATAAAAATTTTAAGTAGAGTAATTAAGTGCAATATAATTAATCTCCATTAATCAAACAACCAGTTTTTGTATCTGTATTAGCTGTAGCAATTTGTTCATCTTCTAAAGGAGAAGACTATTCAAGATTTATTAATCCTGGACTATGATCAAGAGGAACATTTAAACATTAAGGTGCTGGTTCTCTTAATACTAATTTTTCTTAATTAGATATTATTTCTAAATATTATATTCCTGCCATAATAAAGTTTTGGTTGAAATAGGAATCTATAGCTTTTATTGTTAAAAATTAATTTAAATATCTTTGTAATTATGTTTGATATTGTACAATTACAAGAATATAATCTTAATTTTTTCTTAATGTATTTATAAGATTCAATCTTTCAAATGAACTTATAGATGATTATTTTTCAGAAGTTTATTTCAATTTTCTTTTCAATACAATACATTATTCAATTTCTGATAAATTTTCTAATTTAACATTTAAACTTAATTATCTAAACATTACTCTTATTTATGCACTACATCTTTTTAATCCATCAATTAATTAAGAAATCTCATTTTCAAATTCTTTTCTGGTTGAAAATAAAGCACTAATTTTAAAATAATAAATTAATAAAGTATCTAAAACTTTTTTTATTTCATTTGATCTCAAAATATATTAACTTAAATTTTTAGAAAATTAATTTACAAAATATGGTAATAATTCTTATGTAGTTTAATAATGTGTTATTCTAAGATATTCTTCTACTTCTTTTATAAGTATTAAACATTTATCAAATTACTTAATTCTAAGATGGAAATTTATTTAATGTTTCATATTTTCCATATATATCTAATATGATTGTTCTTTTTTCACATTAGCTAACTAAAAGTCTATTTCCCAAAAAGGTTTTTGATCTAACATCATATCAATAATTTAAATAGGAGTTTTATCACCATGAATTATTTCTATTAAGAAATATTTTAATGGATGATCTAAATTTTATAAAGCCTAGGCAAAATCTTCAATAGGCTATAGATATATCATTTCAATAACAACTTAAATTAATTACCATACTTAATTATTATTTTAATTGACTGAATTTAAAATCATGTATTCATTTTAAATAAGAATATAATTATATATAGACACATTCATTATATGATGTTTAGTCATTATCTTTAAATTTGCAAATATAAATTATCTCAATTCATCTATTGTGTAATATAAGGCATATTTCTTTCTGAATTATAATACTTAATATAAACTTTTACATTCTGAACATTAATATAATGATATACAATAACCTTTAATAAAAAAGTCATCAATTTAATCAAGTATATTCAATTATTTAATATAATTTTTACTTTCTCCTATATATACTCCTAATCCATCATTATGATATTTTTAAAATTATAATTATTAACCATGTCTAACTTAAAAAAATTACATTAGATATTCTTTATCTTCTATTATAACTATCCAAAGTATATCATGTAAGTGTTTCTTCATTTTTATATTTGGAATCTAATTCATTTCATCAAGAAAATATTGCAAAGCATATTCTTCTACTTTCTGTGAATGCTACTCAAAAATATAAGTATCTTTAGCTTTATCAATAACATTTTTATAAACTTCTGATTTCAATGATTCAAGATAATATATTTTTTGTATAGTTCTACTATTTGTAGATGAAAATACGAATTGTTTTTTTTACCTATATAAAATTATAAATAATAATTTACTCATATTCTAATTTATTAAATAAATCAATAAATTGATTAAAATTATATTGATGAATACATGAATATTATACAATAGTTCCAAATTTCTTATGAATATCTGACTCAAATTGAATATCTTCTAATTTTTTAGTAGCTTCATAATATTCTAAAGCATATTAAATAGATTATTTCCTTAATGTTTATTTTCTAAATCCTCTAAAAAATAATCCTTTGTATCTAAATATTTATACTTTTCTACAATTTAACCAAGTTCTTTTTTCAATATAATTCTGATATTTATAAACTAATTCATTATATTCTTTAACTTCTTCAGATGTAAGTGTATTACCAAATTATTGAAATTATTTTCTAAATTTTAACATAGCTTAATTTCTATAATATTCATGTTATTTATCAAAACTCTTTTTCAAAATAGAATATCTCTTATAATCTAAATTATGAAATAATTATGATTTTCTTTAAATATAACTTTAAGCAATAAATAATCTATAATCACTCCAAAACATATTATAACTAGATAGAAGATTCAATCTAAAGAAAAATCTCCATATTTTTGTTCTAACTTAAATGAGATACTTTTCTCCTTTTTAAGATGATTAAATTCTAAAAGCACCATTAATAGATCTTTTTGAATAATATTTGAATAAGAATTCATAATTCAATTTCTATACTTATTTTATTTTTTTTATTCTATCCTTTATTTTTGATTACATATTTCTTCTTGTAAATGTTTCTTATCTTACAAATTCTTTAACAGGAACAATAAGTTAATTACTAGATTAATCTAATGAATCTGCTTATATTTTCCTTTAAGTATTTTAATTATTCATAAGATATTGTTGCTATTATTGTTATTATTACTTATTACTAAGATTTAATTAATTCATCTTGAAATTAAACATTTCTTCTTCATATACTAATCTTTTTGAAATTTATTTACTATTCTTTGTATAATAATCAGCTATTTCATCTTCAGAACTAATAGTTTCGAAACGTTCATATTAATGATAAATAGATGATCCATATACTTTAAATAGAGGACATCTTTATAATTTTTATTTATTATCTTTTTAAGATAATCTATTTAATTTTGATTTACTTTAAACATTACTTTTAAATATATACTAACTTCTTTTCACTATTTAATCTACAATAATTGGAGAATTTCCAAATATAGAATTAGTAAGGTATTTAATAAAAAAATTATAAAACAATAATGCTAAAAATAAGATAATAACTTAATCTTGCAATGTATCATAATAATATATACAAATTAATCCAGTATTACATAAAAGTGTAATAAAATTAATTAACTAATAAAAATCATCCCAAATCCCTAATGAACCATCCCCTTTTGGCCAAGGTCTTTAGAAAATATACAAAAGTCTTAATTTAGATATCTAAACTTATAAAATATTCCAAATCCAAAATAAAGTTATACTAAATGGAAATAAACAACCAAATATATTAGTTAATGTTAATTACAAAAAGAAATCCATATATTCATCTATATTTCCATATTTTTCTACACTTTTTTAAAAAGGGATTCTTTACTCTTAAATTTCAATAAAATCACACATACTTTAATAATTATATGGATATAATTTTTAAGGATTTTTCACCATTTCATTTTAAAAGGTCTTTAAAAATTTAAACACTTACATTAAAAACATTAACATCATAGTTGTTCCAAAATAATATTCAACATTACGTTTACAATTTTCTTCTTTACAATATAATTATAAAGGAGAATTTAGAAAACTAATCATTAATAATGGAAAAACCTATGAAAAACAATATAATGTATATTTTTTGATAATATAACTAGTTTCATATTGATAAGATGTCTAAAAATTTTCAAAATCTGTTAAAATAGTAGCTATTTATTCATAAAACTAACTTATTAATAATTAAATAAAATAATTGAGTGATGCTGTAATTATTATTTCAAAATATTAAAATTAATTTCCTAATTCATCTAATTTTGATTTTAAATATAAATTAAAAAAATATAATCCAACTATTCTTCCAATATCTGATCCAACTAAAAATATTAATATAAAAACAGATATAATCAATCTCTATATAAATTTAGAATGTATAACTCCTATTGAATTTAATACATCATTTTCAATTGATCTTACATTTTCACCTTTAAATGAACTACGTATAATACTCTCTTTAACATTTTTATTTTATCCATATTTAAGATTAAAAGTTAATTATTATTAATGCCAACAATCTGTTTAAAAAGAATTCCAATGAACAATTAAAATAGAAAAAATGGATACAGTTGCTGTATATATATCATTATTGTAATTCTATGATGTATATAATAAAACACTAAATAACAATCCAAAAGCTGCCATAGGAGTTGAAAATTTAATAAAGTATGAAGTAAATTCAAAATATAATCCAACTTTCTCTCCAAAATAGAAACAAATATTATCTGTTGGTGAATTCCATGGATGTAAATAATCTAAATTCCATTCACTTGCAATATCAAAAGGTTTTTTCTTATAATTATGCTTTTCTTCACTTACAGCTTTTTAGATACTTTTGCAATATCCAAATAATTCATATTAATCATGTAAACTGAATATTTGTTTAACAAATTACAAATTAATTAAAGTATTTAAATTAATTGTTTAAGTAATAACTGAAGATGCTAATTTCAATCTTTCATTATTAGGAAATAATGTAATTTAATTTTATTCATTTTTAATATATCTACACCATTTAAGTTAGTATTTAGCAATATTCTTTAAAGATTCACCAATATAATTAATTTTAAAAGGAACATATAATTCAAAAGGTTTTTAATTATATCTATCCCATATTGTTTTTAAATATTGTTGAGAACAATTAGCAACTTTTAAAGCTTCTTGAAAAAAACTTAAATAATTATGAGCTAATTATTGTTATTTGATTAATTTAATAGATTTTAATTTTGGTAGATCATTTATTAAATTTATATTATTTGTTAAATCTATTAATTCTCTTACTTTATCATACATTTCACTAATTTTTTCAGAAGCTTCTTCACTTAAATCAGTAAATTAATTTATTTAATCTTTTCTATTAGTTCTAATTCCATAAAGTTATTCAACTGTCTTTTAACCATCTATACATAAAGCAATATCACTATCTATTTGATTTTTATCTCTTTCAATTTATATATGTTTATTTAAATGAACTAAATATTTATAATAAGCTGTCCATTCTTCATCAGTTGGTCCATCCTAATCTCCATATAAATCAGATTTTCCATATTCAAATAATTCAATATTTAAACCACTTTACCCTACTTCTCTTGCTAATCTTTTGAAATTTATCTATTTTATTTAATCAATAATAAGGGGTCTTAAATATTCCAAATAAGAAGAATTACTATATTCATCAGGTCTCCATAATCTACCATTTAATCTTAGAGGACGATATTATTTATCTACAGGTTCTAAAGATAAAAGATCAGTAAAACAATAGCTTAATTTCTTTGGTAAAGCAAAATTTTCAGCAGCAATTTCAAGCATCTTTTCTGTCATATACAAACAAAGATAAATAGTTTATCCATTTTTAGATATAAATGATTTCACATTGAATCCTTTTCTAGATAATTAAATTATCAAAGCATTTCTAATGAGAGTCAAAATATCTGATGTTTCATTCCTTGTTCTATACCAAGATTATCCTTATAGTTTTAAATATTCTCCTTAGCTATATGCTTTCTTTTAAACATATACTAATTTCTACATATCAATTTATAAACAATCAGCGATATTATTTAAACTGCCTTAATAATGTGAGATGTTATCTTTTAAATAATTTCTAAACTTTTTAACCAATTTAGTCAATTGATCTTCCTTTTTATAAATAGGGAAATCTGATGTTCTATTCATCTGATTAAGATTATTATCTACAAGAATTATGGAATTTGGACTTCTATCTGGAGATTTTTAAAATAATTATTAAGAAGTTCCAAATAATACCAAAGTATTTCTTTATTATTGTTGATTTGATTCTAAACCTCTTGTCTTTAATTCAAATAACGAATATATTTTACGATCAGCTAAATGAGTAAAGGCATTTTCTATAGCTTTTATAAATAATTTATCGTGCATTGACTTATCATCAATCTAAAGAGACTTTACAATTTATTCAAAAATTTCCAATTACTTTATATTGTAATCATATTCATCTGGAATCATATCTGGGTTTGGAAGACTTTAAAATTCATAAATTAAATTAAATTATACCTTATGACTGCCTCTGGTAAATCATATTCCATTATTGTATTATCATCTAATTATGGAATATTGTTGAGAGTATAAAATCGTTTTTCATCTGCACGTCCAATATCTTATCCAAGAAGCATTTTCAAATAGATTTCATAAATCTAAACATATTCTTCTATTTAATCTAATTTTTTTTATCTTCTTGTTTTATGTGTTATTTCAGGAATAAGTTAATGAAAATACTATATTGAAAGCTTAGAAGTATAGGCATGTATTTTGCTTAATCTACTTTATCTTTAATTCATGAGAATTTAAAAATTCAACTTAAGAATTTTATTATTAGAATTATAAAACTTTCCAGCAAAGAATCTTCAATTTCTTTAAAAAATATAAATTAAATTAAAATGACAACATATTATTTTATATATATATATTTATAGAATATTAACTAGATTATTATTATCATCTAATTCTAATAATAATAAATTTAATCATAAATAATTCTCATTATAAATACCAACAAATATTAATATTTCATTAAATTTTAATTACTCATAATTGAGTTATTGATTTTATAATATTTAATAAAGTGAATTAATAAATTATTAATATTATTATAATATCATAAGAAATATATTTACTGATTTAATAATTTTTAAGATATTAAAATTAAGTTAGGAAGAACTAGCGATTATATATTAATAAGAATCAAAGTTTTTTATTCTTTAACATTCTTACGAATTCTTCATAAGAGATTTTTCCATCATTATTACCATCACAATCTGAAAGTATTTAGCTCCAAACATCATCACCAAGATCTCCCATTATAGATTCTAATTCTTATTTAGAGATGAATCCATCACCATTCTATATTTAAAATTAACAAATTAATTACCAAATCAAAAATTTTAAATGCCTACTCTACTCTTTAAACAGATAATAATTTTTCTTAATTTATTGCAGCCATACAAAATTCTGAAAAATCTATCATTCCAGATCTATTAATATCTATCATATCAATCATTCTATCCACTTCCTCTTATGCATATTTATAATCTAATTTCAATTATTAATATCCTTTTATTAATTCTTCTTTAGATAGAAATCCATCATTATTTATATCAAGTCTTTTAAATTCATTTTATAATTCTGATATTTCCTTTTAAGTTGACATTTAAGTGATCATATATGACATTAGAGCTTATTTTAAGATAGTTTAAGCCTTTATATTATAATATATATCATAAATACCCTAAATTATCTGATGTTATCAAGAACTCTTTTATTAACTTAAGATGTGGGAGCATATTTAACTAACCAAGGATCATCAAGTGCTTATTTTGCTGATAATCTTTTATTTGGATCCATTCTTAATAATTTAGTAATAAATTCTTTTGCTTCTTTAGAAATTTAATCCCAATCCTCAGCTATAAATATATTTAATAAATTACGATCAAAAGTAAATTTTCCTTATTTAACTCTTTCCAAAATTTAATTTTCACTCTTACCTGAAAATGGTGGATAACCACATAAGAGTATATATAAAATGATTCCACATGACCAAATATCACATTTTTCATTATATTAATGATTCAATACTTCAGGAGCAATATAATATGGCTTTAATATAATATAAGAAATACTGTTCCTAATCTTTTACTCATAGCTTTTGTATTGTCAAATTTTCTAGAAGTTCCAAAATCTATAACTTTTAATTAGGAATTTGGATCTTCACTTATAAATATCACATTTTCAGGTTTCAAATCACGATGTACAATATTTTATTAATGACAATGCATTGTAGCTAATAAGATTTATCTTATGTAATCAGCAGCTATGTTTTCACTAAAGGATGACATTTTTTTGATTCTATCAAATAGTTCACCTCCTGATAGATACCTAACGAATATATAAATTTTGTACTCAGTAACCAAATAATAATTATTTTCATCTTGATAAAGTTCAAATAATTTTACTATATGAGGATGGTCTAGATTCTTTAAAATGTTCATTTCTGAAAACATTCGTTATTCATCCTCTTTTATTAATGAACTTTTTTTTAATTACTTAATAGCTCTTACTAATCCAGTAGTTTTATGAGTTACTTTCCAAACCTTTCCAAATGCACCTTGTCCTAACACTTTACCAAAATTATAATGACTCCCTATTGATCCTTCCTTAAGTTTAACAAAAATATCATGTCCTAGTTTTATCCTTACTCCTGGTACTTAAGGTTCAATTTTTTTTTTTATTTCTTCCTTGCCTTTAAAAATATGAAAAATATAACTACTATCAGTTTTCATTATTGGTACAGATTCTTCTTTTTTTATTACTTCAATCTCTTTTTTTGGCATCTCTTCTTATTAATCAACTTCTTAGTTATTTTCACTTTCTAAAACATAACATGGCTATTAAGACTCAACCAATATTTAATCCTCTTCAATTTAGCTTTTTTTACTTCCTTATTAAGAAAGTGAGACTTTTTATAAAGGATTAGGAGAAGCATTCGCAGTTTATTCATTTTATAAAATTACTTCTTCTATGTACAATCTTAACTTAATATACCTTAACAACGAATGTTATTATTTTTACAGCATTGACTTCCCATTTCCAATTAATTTTAATAAGAAAGTTAATTATTTATAAATTCAACATATGTTAAATCAGTATCATATTATAACTAGAAATTCAAATCTTATACCCGATTTTCGTAAAGAATTCTTTATAATTATTATTCAAATTTAAGAATTTAAATAATCTCTCTTTTAAAGAATTTATTAATCAAAGAAACAATCAAATAATTTAGATTAGTAAAACCATATATGCATAATAAATTATTTACAATTAAAATACAAATAATAATTAAATAAGATTATTTAGATCATATAAATCCAAAAATTATTTCTATTACTTATATAATATGATTAATTAATGTAGAATTAATTTATTGATATTGTTAAATATATTATTTCAAATAGAGTATTAAAAATATTATAAATATATTTCTAATTGTATAAATTAATTATTCATTTTGACAAATCTATTTAATACCTTAAATTTAAGATTATAAAAATTAAGATAACACAAATCAAAAATGATATCATTCTATATAATCAATAACATAATTCATTTATGAAGCTAGCAAAATCACGTTTAGTTAACTTTTTAATTATGATTATTTTAAATTTTGGAAATTTTATTAATTTCTTAAAAAATTATATAAATTATTATGTAAAACTCTATTTCCACAGGAAATTAAGATTATAACATTGTTAAGGCTGACAATCATCATGATTCTGATGAAGAATTATAAGAGAAATAAGAGAAAAGTTCAAAATTAGTAATTGAAGACGAAGAAGAATTAAAAGAAGTTCACTAAAATTAATCGAACAATACTAATATGAAATAAGAAGTCTAATCATAAAAATAAGTTCCAAAATAATAAGATATGTAATAGTCAACTAATGAATAATCAAAAAAAGTTGTTGCTTAAGTTTATCCAAAATTCATAAATTTTGATTATTAGGACATTAATATTAAATTCAAACCTGAATGGAAAGATAAAAGGAAAATGCCTGAATAAAACAAATTTGAAAAGAAAACTGTAATAGAAATTAAAGAGCCTATTTTATACACAATGAATAAAGAAAAAACAAAACATGGAAGATCAATTTTTACATCTTTATTTTCTACAGATTATAGATATATTTATATAACTGATGGATATATGTATATTTTACAATTAAAGAATGATAAGATGTTTGTAAAGAGTGTGAATTCTTTATAAAGGTTATTTAAAATAATACTTAAAGGAGATTAAATTTAATTATGTTTCATCAATGCCAATTTAGATAAAACTAAACCACCTAATGTATATAAATTATAATTATATAAAATTAGTTAAAATCATATTAATTCTTAAAAGGTAAAGAATAAAAAGAGAAATTATTAATGAGAGTGAGAGGAGAGATTAATAAATTAGGGTATGATTTTGATTTAATGAAATGAATTTTATCGATAAATTTATTTAATTAATTATAATCGTTATTTTTTTAAACATTCACTGTATTTTATGAAAAAGAGAGAAAGTATTTCTGAACCTCCTTTGAATAAATTAGAACAAATTAGATTAAAGTTTTCAAAATAATTAATCAAAGTTAAGGCTAAAGGATTTGTTACTTGTAATATTGGAAAATCAATATAAAATGATAATGGATCAAGAATTTCATTAGGAAAAAGTTCATTCTTAGAAAAACTCTAATCAATCCATTCATTTGAAGATGATGAAAGAACATTATTAAAGTCTATATAATTTGATGTTTAATTGGCAATTAATAGATATTAATAAAGAATTGAATAAATAGCATAATTATAAGTAGAAAGAAGTTCATTAAGATCTTGCTAATAAAATATTATGCAATACCTTACAACACCTTAATAAGAAAAAAATGATATACAATTTGATTCTTCTTAATTATTATCTAAGAAATCTGATTGCAAAAGTTCTAAATAGAATAATTAAATTGATCCAAATACTACCAATAAATTAAAACCATATAATAAAAATATTTTAGGTAATAAGAAATCAAATAAAACATTTAAAATAATAGCTGATAAATAGAATAAAGCTAAATATAATAAAAAATAAAGTAATTAATCATTTACAGAAATAAATGGGTTAAATAAAAAACAATCTAAAGATGGTACTTTTAGTTAAAAATCTGTTTCAACTCGCTAGCCAAGTGTAAAAGAAATAGCAATCAATTTAGAATAAAGAAGATCTACTGAAATGATATTGAGAAATCAACCAAGATAATCACGAAATTCAATTAATTCTTTTGATAACAAGTAATCTGTAAAAACAAAAAAACCTTTAGTATTCTGAATACACTTTTAATGTATGGTTTTTAATTCAAATTTATATGAATTATTATTATTACTTAATTATTCTAAAGATATAATTATTGGTTTGAATATTAAATCATATTAATATCTAATAGAACTTTTTAATTATTATTATTGATAAATCTTGAAAATGAGAATTAATTATTAAGATATTTGGAATTAATATTGAATTTTATATTACATCCACATTAAATGTTAATTTATCAATAATAAATAATTGCAGAGATATGTATATATTTAGATATGATTTTGTAGCTTTAATTTAATAAACAATTAATTTAATTTGATAATATAAATTCTTATTTTATTTAATATAAAGTAGATCCAATAATTCAGATATTTTATGATCAATTTAAAAGTTTAACTTTAATTTATTTAAAATGATTGTAAAGAGAGATTCTTTTCTATATAAATTAAATCTACTTAAAAATAAATATTTTATATATATATTGATTACACTCATATATATTATAGTAGTATTTTGATAAAATATTACATGAATAGTTAGATAAATTATTATATTAATTTTTTGGATTATGAATTAAAAAAATATTTCAATAATTTTGTGTAAATTATTATATTTGAATTGATATCATTAAAGAATTTTTAAATAAAAAGATTTCCATATTTATGAAATCATTGTTATTCATTAGCTTGTTATTGGCTACATCATTGTGTGCATTTTAAGAAGAAGATAATGTAATGGTGTTAACTTCAGATACATTTTAAGATGCTATCGATACATTCAAATTCATTATGGTTGAATTTTATGCACCATGGTGTGGACATTGGTATTGATCAATAATTTATTATATAAGCAAGTAATTGGCTCCTGAATATTCTGCTGCAGCAGCTGAATTAAAGAGATAAGGAGGAGACAATTATGTACCTTTGGCAAAAGTTGATGCTACAGTTGAATCATCAGTGGCTGAAAAATTCTCAATCTAAGGATATCCAACTATAAAATTCTTCATAAATGGTTAAGCAACTGATTATGAAGGAGGAAGAACATCAGGTGAAATAGTTGCTTGGATTAATAAGAAATCAGGTCCTCCATCTACAGAATTAAATTCAGTTTAAGATTTAGAAAGTTTCTTAGAAAGAGTATCAAGCACTCCTATTGTTGTCTTTTTTGGAACATCATCAGATGACAATGATTTTGAAACATTTAAATAAGTTGCTTAACAAAATGATAAAGTTACATTTGCCCATACATTCAATCCAGAATCAGCTGAGAAATATAATGTAAGTGGTAAAATAGTACTTTTCAAATCCTTTGATGAGAAGAGAAATAATTTTGATTAATCAGTGACAACATCAAATTTGGAAAATTTCATAAATATTTATGGAAATCCAATAATATTACCATTCAATGATAAAGCAATTAATATCATTTTCTAATAAAGAAATAATGCTGTTATTTTATTCACAGATGATTCTGAAGCAGGTGTTGCTGCATTTGATGCCTTTGCTAGTGTTGCTGGTTCATTTAAAGATAGGTAATAATTAAATATTAATTATTTAGAATCAAATTTTCATTCTCTAAACCTAATGATGGATCTGGTTTATTCCATAGATTAGCTGAATATATTGGTGCTAGCACTACTAATATTCCTAATATTATGTTATATGATTAATTAGGAGGAAATGGTAAATATAGATTTGAAGATGAAATTACAACTGAATCATTAAGAACATTTTTAACAAATTTCTTTGATGGAAAATTAACTAGATATATGAAATCTGAAGAAGTACCTGCTACTAATGATGATCCTGTAAAAATTGTTGTTGGAAAGAATTTCAGAGATTTAGTGATTAATAATGATAAAGATGTTTTGATTGAATTCTATGCTCCTTGGTGTGGACATTGTAAATAATTGGCTCCAATTTATGAAGGTTTAGCTAAGAAATTATTAGTTAATCCAAATATTATAATTGCAAAATGTGATGCTACTGCTAATGAAGTATTTTATATTATTATTATTTTTAGATTGAAGGAGTTAATATAGAATCATTCCCAACAATTAAATTCTGGAAGAATGGATAAAAGGATTAAATTATTGATTATAATAGTGGAAGAGATGAAGTCAATTTTATTTCATTTTTAAAAGAAAACACTTCACATTAATGGGTTGATCTTGATAGAGTTGAAGAATTATGAGTGTATGTATTTTCATTTCATAAATTTAAATCCTATTTTTTATTATAAAATATGAATACGTTTCATGAATATTAATTATAAGTGCCTGCAATTAAACAACTAGAAAAAATCAATGAATAATAAAATATAGAAGGGAATCTGACATTAAGTAGAGAGAGATTTAATTAAAAATAAAAGAAATTAGTATATTTGATATCATTTCTCTTAGTAAATTAATACAAGTAGATTAATACCTATTGCCAATGAAAAATTACCCAGATTATCTTAAAGCAAATCACCCATCTAATTATAAAAAACAATAAGAGCAACAACAGAGTATTAAGGATCATCAAAATAATAATCAATTAAGTTTTTTAAAACTAATACAAATACAGAGAATGATGCAAATATTTATACAGATGATGAAAGAGCAAAACTTAAATTTAAAAGAGATGAAAAAAAACCAAAAACTACTAATTATAAAGTAGGTCTTTATGAAAATACTTAAAATAAAAGATTTGCTGAATTTGCAGAATAGATTAGAAAACTTAAAGATTAATTAGATTCCTTATAAGTAAATTTATATTTATTACTAAAAGAAATATTTGAATAATTCAAGAAAACTATTTTTAGTAGTTAGAAATATTGTTGAAAAAAGAAAAAACCTTAGAAAAATTCTATTAAAGAATGGTAAAGATGAACTTGTAGAATTATCTGATATTGAAAAATTATGTAGTGTTAAAGAATTTGTTAATATTAATGGAGAATAAAAATTAATTGATAAATTGAATATCTCTTTATTAGATGATATTATATATGCTAATGAAGTCTTAGAGAATTTAAAAATTTAAAATGAAATTCTAGATATCAAAGAAATGGCTGATTAAGTATATTTTAATAAAAATTATGATTATAATAGAAAAAAATTAAATTAACAGGTTGAATAAAATTTTAAAAATCAATTAAGAAGAAGATTTAAAGTTATCTTTCACATCTATTGCTATGTCAAGGTATAATTTACATGAATAAATTGACATTTTTGAATAGAGATTAGGTCCACTATAGTCAATTAAAAAAAATTTAAAGTAAACCTCTTAAGCTATTACAACCTTTGTAAAATTATTGTGTGATAAATGAATGATACCTATTTTGGATTATATATTTAATTTTATAAAAAGCTCTAATATAAATTATTATTTATACTTTACTATGATTCTCGAAGAAGCTGTAATATAAGTTATTTCTATAACTAGCTTGGAGTAGAAGATGATTATGTCAGATTACAAAAGATTGCTGAAGGAATTAAACAAATTTCATAAAGTTTGAAAACCCAAAAAAATTTCAACAGTCCTTCTTTAATCAAACAATGTAAATGGAAATTACTATATAAGTGATTTGTTCTTATCCTTTTTCAGACACCACAATTGAGATGCTCTTAAATGAGTGTTTTGAGTAACATAAAAGTGACCCTAAATTCATAATGGCATTCCATAAAGCCTTATAAGAAGTGGCTATACTTTAAGAATTTAGATAATTTTTAGGTTCTAGATCTTTATTCAATAAATAAAACCGTTAGCTATCTCATAAGTATATAAATTTAGTATAATTTTAGTAATAATATTACCTCAATACTTAAAGAGTAACTGAAACAAGGATCAATCCCTTTTAGCAGAGAAGTCATAGAAAGATTAATAATTGCAAAACGATTTTCAGCAAAATTTATAATACCAATATTTACTCTTTCAAAAGAGTACAAATTTGATCTGGAATAAATGGCATCCATATTTAAACTTTTCTTAATGCATACTAAAAATGAAGAATTCTAACTTCAAATTATAGATATTTATGAAGAATTAAAATTATCAATATTTAAAGATCTCGAATGGATTGAAGAACATAATTAAGAATTAGAAGATTGTAATTTATATTATATAATCTTAGATTTCATATAAAATAAAATTAAAGTTCCTTAAAGATTAATCTAAAGTAAATTGATGCATATAAAAAATAAAAACAAAAAATTACTACATTAACATTTCATTAAGAAATGTAATATGAAAAGTGAAACTGAAAGTGATTCATTATCTGTTAGTCCAGAATAACCAAAAATAATAGATTATAAAACTAAGATTTAATAATGGCTTTGTATTAAAGAAACTCCTACAATTGATTTGGATAATTATGTATATTTTACTAATTCCGAAAATCTAAATTCCCTTCTTTCTTTTATATTGAATCCATGTAAAATTGAAATTATTGCAGATTGGGTAAATATTAGATTTAATCATTATAGGAATTGACTTTCAAAAATGTAGAAACTAAATTTAATAAGAAACACTTTAAAAATATACCTATTAAATTAGATACATTTTAAATTATTAGATCATATAAAACTGTCTTAATATTTTAAAATTAAAACAATATTCGTCAAATTGATAAATTATTAACAACCTTTATTGAAATTTCATGTATAGAATTTAGCTTATAATAGTTAGAAAAATATATGATTCCTTAATAAGTGATGAAATTAACTTAAATCTTAATCATTTAGTTAATTTCATTGAATAATTAATACTTTTAAATCCATAAAAGAGTGCCTATTAGATATTAGAATACAATCTATTATTTACATTCTCATTATATATTTATAACCATTAAATGACTACTTTTATAGGAGATATGTTAAGTTTATGGATAGATAAATTTAAATTTGGTTTTTATTTATAAGAATAAATATGGAAATATTTAGATTATACAAATTGGTTTAACTTTTTCTTTTAAATTTTAATTAAATAACCATAAAGAAATGAATAATGTTATTAAGAATACAAATCACTAAAAATTGTATATATTTAATTATTAAATTTAAGGATGGAATATTAGCATTTGTAAAATTATTAAAATCTCCTGAAAAAACATAATAAACATAAAATGATTTTTAAAATTCTGTGACTAGTCGATAAGAACCACTAACACCAATTGAATTTTCAGAAGAATAGTAAATATTAAATTCTTCTTAATGGATTTTGGATAATAACTCAACAGCAAATTAAATAATGGAAGATATGAGTTAGAAAGATATAGATAATTTAAAACACTTTAGCATTGAAAAGAATAAATCTATTATGACAGAATTATAAGAGTCTTCACCTTTAAGAATTAGAATAATGTAATCATCTTACAATAAAGGATTTTATGGTTAATCATCTGACATTACTAATAAAACTCTCTTGTCTCCAAAAGGTAAAATGCATCATAGTTCAGTAAGTCTACCTTCAATAGATAATAAAGTTCATAAAAGTGAAAGTGTTGATTCTTAAAATTGTCAAAATTATGCATCAAGATTAAGAAATAAAACTTATATTATATCATAAGATGGATTTTCTACAACCAAATTAATATCTATTTATCCAAGAAGAAATATTGATTTATAGTTCACTCATTTTGAAACTGCTTAATCATTTTTTACTTATAATAAACATACATTAAAAGGTTGTACTAGAGTATTCAAAATTTTAAATGACTCAATATTTAATTCACTTTATTATTAAGAAAACTTAATAAAGGATCATTTTTAGAAATAACAATTTTTAAATTTAGCATAGAGATCTTTCATAAATGAAAGAACAATTATTACATTATTTCAAATATATTTATATGGAATTTTTGATGAGGAAAGTAAAATTCTTTAGAAATAATCAATTGAATGTGGTCTTATAATAAATGAGATTTATAAAAATTCATTAATATTATAAGAAAAATAATTAAATACTTTACTAAAAAATTGTTTTAGTTAAGTTGCTGATTTTGTAAGTAAGAAATTAATAGAATTAAATAATTATACATAAATACCTGAATTTAAATTCAAATAATATTTATTATTTAGCACTTTAGTAAATGGTTTGCATTATTTTGATCTTTATGATCCTAATAGGGATGAAAGAAATATTTATAAGTATTTAAATGAAACTGTGATGCATATATTAATAATTTGGTTTTTTAATAGTCATTAAAATAACATTTTCTAATTAAATTTTGTTAAGTAAATTATTTTTATAATTATAGATTAATTGCTATCCTTTTTTCTCGTGCACCTTAATATTAATTATAAAATTTATTATTTCATGTAGGTTTATTGACATCTTTATTTAATGGATATACTACATATAATAAAAATGGATGCAAAAATATAGATTATGTTGAAAGTTTATACATGAATATTATGTATTTAATATACATTATTAATGCTAATGTATATTAAAGATAGCTAACATTATTAATTTCTAATTTAGAATCATCAGCATCATGGAAAGGATTATAATAATGTCTTTGTGAAGTTTAAACCAATTTTTTAAATCAATTAAATTAATTAATGAAATTGGATAGATCATATTCATTAAAAAAAATAAAATCTAGTTAGAAGATTATTTTATAACCAAATTCTAAAGAATCAGTAAGAGGTAAAAATGAATCCAAAAATGATAATTCTTAATTAAATGAACTTTTAAAATAAAAGTATTATAATATATTTTATAATTATTAGATCAATAACAAAGGAATCATCACCTGTTAAATAATAAATGTAGATCAAAAAACTAATAAGATATAGAACTAAGAATAGTATTAAAGCATGAGTGATTTGAAATCAAAATTAATTTATATACGAAATTCTCACTATGGATTAATATCAAATATTGTAATATTTATTTCAATCATTCATATGTTTATATCTTCCATTTTCTTTTAAAACTGAAATATTAATTCACTTTTATTAACATAATTATGAATTGTATATTAATATTATTAATTTATTGATGTTTTTTTTATTTAATAATATTATATTAAGAAACTCATATATTATTGGATAAAAGAAAATAATTAAAAATAAAAATGAATGATTTTATATAATATTGTTATCTTTTCTCAAATTATTGAATAATATTCCTCAAATGTGTCAATAATTTTGGACAGACAATTAGATGTACTTAATTAGTATCTCGAAATTGAAATACAATCATTACTAAACTTACATTCTAGACCTGGATTACCTTTAGCTACAGCTCCAATCACAAAAACCAACTAAAATTATAAGTTTATATATATTTATACATTATGCTTTTTTTAAATATATTCTTTTAAATCAACCAATTTAGCTTTGTGTGATGTTGCTACAATATAAGCTTCATTGGAAAAATACTCTTAGACTGTATCATTGTGAATTTGAAGTAATACTTAATCATCTGATTGAATTTTTGCTGTCTCTAATAATTTAGCTATCATTCCACTAAACCTTTTAAAAGTTCTAGGTATTTTAGTGACTGGATTAATTTCAATTAATCTATTATCTTCTGTCCTTATCAATACTTTCAATAAGCCTGCTTTATTAAGAGGACTATCAAGAAGTGTTAACAAACTTTAATGTACTATGTCTGGCCTTTTGCTTAATTAATTTATACCTGAAATCTTCTGGATTTCTTCCTAATCGTTTTGTTATAAAATGAGAATGATCTTCAAAGTTTAATAATACTTTTGAAGATTTCAATTATCCTAATTATAAGACTGCTCCATCAAGTATGAATGTTACAATTTCTTTATTCAATTTTTCTTATATATCTAACTCTGGTATTGGGACTTCATTATTAAGAGATTTTTGTATAGTTTTTTTTAACTTCTTAATTTACTTTTTGTTTGAGAGTTGTTTGAGCATAAATTAAAATTATATTAATTAAATAAAACTGAAAATACTTTTTCATTTATTATTAGCAGGATTGTTCACTGACTTTATTTTGTTTTATTTTTTTAGAAACTCTTTAATATCTGCTTTTAATTGATTATATTCTTCTTTCATACTTAAAATCATTCCAGAAGTTTCTTCTCTTTTCTTATGAGAATTTTTTATTTTTTTTTTCAATAATAGAAATTGCTAGAATCAAATACTAATAAATACAGGACTCAATTCTGGATTTTTTTCAATTTCATTCCATAACTTTTCAATTTTTTATTATTTTCTTTATTATGCCTACTCTTTATATGCTTTTGCATCACTTCCAAATTATTGAGTTTACATTATTAATATATTTATTTTATTTTTTTTGTATAAATTGTAAAACCTTATAACCCTTATAAATAATTAACTGTATAAATCTAAACAATAATATATAATAATATGCAATTCTAAATATCAATTAATCTTAATAATATTGATTATTTTGACATTTATGATAGTACTTAGTTATTTATTTAATTAAAAGCAAAGTGAATAAAATAATATAAAATATCTACTCTATGAGTCACTTTGATGATATTGACTTTGCCTAAAATTCAAACTCTAGTAATATGCATTTTGAATAAGAAGCTGACTCTGGAAAGAAGTAAGCTTTTGATTTAATAAAGAAAGCCCAAATAAAATACAAAGAATACTTATATAAAAAAGATATCATCACTTATAAAAATGACCAATTAAGAAATCTTGGAAGAAAAGTAATCTTTATATATTAATAGCATAAATAGTTAAGAAAAAAAATAGACTGTTCATAAAGTCTAAAGCTAATAATTTCCTGGAAATAATCTAGGAGATAAAGAAGATAAATTAGCAAAAAACAGAGAGTCTGCTAGAAATAGCAGAAGAAGAAAGAAGATTTATTTAGAATTGTTGGAAAGCAAAGTTACAAAATTATCAGAACAATTAGATGTTTATAAGAATGTTAATGAAAGAACTCAACAATTAGCAATTAATCTATAAAACAAAATAACATAAGTATTTAATATCTTAATTATTAAGAAAAGAGAATAAGATTAAACAAAAATGATATTATTTTCAAATCTATAAAATTCAATAAATGGAAACGTTGGAGAAATGAATATTGATGCAATTATAGATTCTTTAAATGTATATTAAATATTATACAAATATAGAAAAAATTTGGTTCTGGATCATAAGAAAGACATTAATTGATTGATCATTATGCAAGACAAATTTATGAAAATTGTTTGGCTCCATATATAAATTATATTATTGGAGTAGCTAAAACTGAATAAGATATTTTCTCAAATTAAGAGTATATTAAATATTAATATTTAGGCATACTGATAATACAATTTTAAGAAATCTTAAACTTACAGATAAATAAAAATAAATACTATAAAAAAAATAATAGAAATTACTAAGACATCAAAATGAATTAGCTAAGTATTTTTAATTAAAATTCTATTATTAGTACATTATCATCAATTTAAGAAGTAAAAAATTAAATTTAAGCTGAATTAAGTTCATTTGATTAAACTTTAGAATAATTAAGAAGAGAATTAAAACCAAGTTAAGTAGCTAGATTTTTATTATCTATTGAAAAAAAGGATATGTAACATCATTTTAAAGAATAATTTGAAAAATGTTTTGGATCAGAAATTGATGAAGATGATTCTTTAGAATTATATTAATTTATGACTGAACATAATCAATGTAATTCTCTTGGAATAGATATTCAATAGACTTATGAGATATATAGAGCATCTAATGATTTTTTAAATGGAAAAGCTGAATCAGAAGATTAATAATAGTAATCATTGTAACAATAAACTAAAATTGAATGAATAGTTACATTTATATGGCCTATTAGATATATAATAGATTATTATATATTTACATATATAATCATTATTAATTACAATTAATAATCTTTATTATTTCTTAAATAAATTGAATAATTATTTATATCTTCAGTTTTCTGATATTTTAATGTCTTGAAATGATAATGTAAGCATTTTTTAATTTCAAATTTGATAATAAATACTCTAATATAGTTAAAAAATAAATAATGATATATTGATAATTAATTAGTTTGATTAAATTAATCTATTAATTAAATTAATTAATAAAATCTAGAAAATCAATTTGGTATTGCTAAAATTATAAAGAAAATAAATAGAATAATTAAAATACTTATACTCATAATGATCATACATAATATAATGTAATGATAAATTAATTTCATGTCATTTTTCTTATTTTTATGGCATTCGAGAAAATATTTTTAGATAAATCCTTTTTATATGTTGCAGATGAGATTCTAAGTTTTGAACTAAATGACTTTACTAAAGTTGGAGTCTAAATAACTTCACTAGCTTTTTTTCTCATTGACATCTATTTAGCATATTCTTCATTAACGTATGGCACTTATTCTGGGTCAAGTTTACCAGATACTATATCAGAAATAACTCTAATTTATTCTTCTTATTCAACAATTTATTAATCGAAATCTTTAAATTTCTAAAATGTTATTTTATAAATACTGGTTTTTCAATTGGTTTATAATTGATTGATGTAACAAAATTAAATTTAAGTTATTTTTTTCCATCTTTAATTTCATATGCATCATCTTTTGAAACTTTTTCAATAATATCTACTATTTCTCCTTCTTCATTAACATACTAATTATATTTACAAGTTATGTAACCTTTAGCTATCATCTAAAGTACCTATAATCTTTTTTGCATTTTCTTTAATTACTTTAAAAAGTATTCTTTTCTTAATTGATTATCTGTTTTACTTCTAGGTTCTAATTCAAAAAAGTTTCCAATATTTTCTTATTATTTTTTCATCAATAATTCATATTCATTATTTAATTATTTAGAGTAATTAGATGATGCTTCCATAAAGTTCAAATTTTAATATTTAACATGAGAAGCATAACTTTTAATAGCACTATAGAATTATTCTTTAAGTTCTTAATTTCTTCTACTTGAATTACCTCCCCAATTAATAACTTCATCATTTAGAATATTTTATGTTTTTACAAAATTATCTTATTGAATGTCTGGTTATTCTTTTATAGTTAAATTAAAATTAAAATGAGAAGATATTTTAGTACTTTTAACATTAGGATTTATTATTTTCTACAAAACTCTTCTTTTAGGTTATTATTCATGATTTTTAGGGTAATTATCTGCTAATTTTGTTTATGTATTTGTATGTGTTCTATCAAATGATATATTTTTATTAGAATGTTATGCTTTACATGTTTAATGTTAAAAGAATTAATTAAATTATTAAGAATTTTAAATAATTAAAGATGTAGGTAATATTTTAGTTTTTTATTATCTAACTCCTTTGTTTGATTTAAATTAATTATTCATAGTTGTAGGATTAAATTCATTTTCTTGAAATTAAAAATTTAATTTACAAGTACTAATTTCTTCTAAATAAGTTAAATGAGATTTTAGTTATTATATATCAATAGATTATTTAGATAATTCAACAAATCTCTTTAATCTAAATATCCATTTTTCTCCAATAAGAAGAAATAATATATTTCTTGAATCTCTTTGCCAAACTTTTTTCTCTAATTCAACATTTGATATTCGAAATAACATTGCTGAATCACAAAGACATTTAATAGTAAAATATCTTTATTCATAATTTAAAAAGCTTTCTTCTCCAAATATTTCTCCTTCTGCTAATCTAGTTAATTAATGTTCAATTTGGTTATCATCCCTTTTTGTAAGTGAAAATTCTCCTTTAAAAACAAAATATGCCCAATCACATTATTCATCACCTTCTTAATAAATAGTTTCATTTTTTTAAGGTTTAATAACTTCTAATTTATAAGCAAAATATTTAATTTCATTATCAGAGAATTATTAAATATATGTTAATTATTTTAGAAATGCTATTTTTTCATTATTTTCACTTGATTTTATATTAGAATTTAATTCTATAATATATTTAAAATCTAAACAAACTAAATCTGTTTATCTTAATGTAACTGCAGTAGATTTTTAAACATCTTATAAACCAAATTCATTAAATGATTATCCAAATGTCATTTCAGTTACTTATGAATATTATTAAATATCTGATATATCTGTAAATGTCTTTGGTTTTGTTGAATCAAGTTCTTATGTTACTAATACTCTACCACTTAAAATTATATAAGTTGTTCTGTTAATTATTATATTCTAATTAGGTCCAAATGTTTTTAAATAAAGATGTTTGCATAATTGTTTCATGAAATCTGCATTATATTTAGCTTTAATTTTTTCAAAATATTGAAAACAAGACATATACTCTATTATCTATAAAAAGTCTTATTCGGTTCTAGATAAATAATCTTTTTATAAAACTTATTTTATTTTTGAGATATCTTAAGGTTGATTCCCAATCTTTGATAATATATTAGAAGCTGAGATAATATGAACAGCATGTTAAAATATTTGAGATTTGCTTTTCATTTAGATAATTATTTATATTAATGACGATATTATATATTAGAACCAGGAATCGCACCGTCAGGATGTTTATAAAAATTACTACTATATTCAGGAATATGATAAGCCTTATCTCCTAAAAAATGTGTTCCAATACCATTTCTATGATCATTTACTCTAACTTTTCTTTACATTTCATCTTCTAATATATAACCTTATTAAGTTTCTTTATTTGCTTACTAAAATAAAATTGAAATAAATAACCTCAAATGTTTTTATGCCATAATCTAAATCTTCTAAATGACCATCTTTATCTAAACGTAAATGTTTTTTTTCAAAGTAAATTTATCTATTTAATGGTTCAAATTATTTTCTGAAATTAGGTTCTGAATAAAACTTTTCTAATCTATATGACTCTTAATTATTAAGTGATTATTTAATTATTGGAGTTTTTAAATTCTCTAATTAGTTTTATATTAAAGGATTTTAAAGTTTAGTTTGAACTTAACTTAGAAAAACATCACTTTCTCTAGGTGTAATAATTTCAATTGCTTATTATTCAAATTTCTTTCTTCCTTTATCTTTCCATTTCTTAGATTTCAATCCATCCCAATCCATATATGAATACATTATATTAATATTAATTATGTAAATTGAATCAGACAATTAAGTTACAAATTAGAGTTATTCTTTTTTTAGATAAGAGAATACTATTATGGATGATAAAAAGTTTATGGAAATATTATTAAAATGGGGTTTATAACATAGTTTGAAAGTAAGTACATTTTTATTTGATATCAAATTTGATCATTTAAATCCAAGTCAATTTTTGTTAGATTTATTCAATTCTAAAGAAATAAGAAGTTCATTACATTATGTTTCATTTAAATAGAATATAATGTTATCATAGATTAAATTTTAAGCTTTGACATGTAAATCTATTAAATTAGATTTGTTTGATAAATTAACAGAAGATAGAATTGTTGTAAAGGGACATATCAAATAATGTTTTGAAGAATAATTTGAAAATATTTAAATAGCTGATGAAGTACGTAAAGCACTTGTTATGGAAGATTCTGAATAATATTGTGTATTTAATGAAGCTGATAGATAAGAATTATTATTTAGATTATTTCAAATTTTAGTTTTGGGAGGATAACTTTGTTAATATGAAGATGATATATAAGCTTATTTAGATTGGACTAAATATTTATATAAAAATACAGTGAAGTATTATTATATAAATTAATAAAAGCGCTCGAAAATATGCAGATAAGGATGAAATTTATATAGATTCATATGCATATGAAATAAAGAAATTAGAGAATTCATATATTTCAGATCATCCTTAAAATGTAATGTATGTTGTTGTGAATCCATCATTAAGAATTGTTAATATCATAGAAAATTAATGGTTAAAAGTATGGTGATTCTATTGAATTAAATTGTGATTAATCATGTTGAATATTTATAAATAAATATTATAATGAATCGAAATACAACATAAGGCAAAAACTTTAACATAAAACCATTAGTTTTTAAAGTTAAAGGAACTAATTATGCAAGTTAAAAAAACTCATTTACAAGTTTATCTCCAACTCCTAAAATTGGATCTCCAAGGTTTGCTGATAACTTAAGAAAACCTTTAAATCCTATATTAAGTCCAAAAATAAATAACAAACCATTTGATAATACACATATCTTTAGATCCACAAGATTTCATTCTGAATTCAAGAAACCAACTATTGAGAAATAAACTGAAAAAGTTACTTTAAAGTTTTCAGTCATGAAAGAACTTCATTTATAGAAATAACATACTCATCATAGTGTTCATTGTTCCACATAAGTAGTTAAAAAAGATAATATCAATTTATTCGTTTTATGTGAAGGTCATGGTAAGTTTGGAAAGGAATGTTCCTAATATGTTAATCAAAAAATGATAGAGAAACTAACTAATAATAATTTAATCAATATAGTTTAGAAAAAAAATGATTAAATAAATCTTTTATTTGAAGACCTCTTTTCTGAAATTAATAAAGAAATAGTAATTTATGTATATATATATTTAGTAATAATGCTAAGATATAGATTCATCATAAAGTGGATCATAAGCTATTTGTATATTAATTTCTGAAATGAAATTGATATGTTCAAATTTAGGAGTAAGCAAAGTTATGTATTTCTTTTTACAAAAAAATAATTTAGTTTTTAAACAATTAAATACTGTTCATTCTATCGAAAAAATGTCTGAACAATAAAGAATATTAAATAATGGTGGTGAAATAGAATAAGAATATATTAATTATGTAAAATCAGGTCCTTTAAAGATATGGTTAAAGTAAAATAAATCTTAAGGGATTCAATTAACTAGATGTATAGGATATAATAATTGGCATTAAATTGGAATTACTTGTTAACCAGATACTACAGAATAAATACTTACTTAATAAGGATATATAATAATTGGTAATAGTCAATTATTCGAGTTAATTGATACTATTGATATATCAAAAGTCTTAGAAAAACATATGGTTCCACAATCTTAATAAGAAATCAGTAATGTATGTGAATAACTATTAATTTTGGCAAAAAGTAGAATTTCTAGTAATTTACATATAGAATAAATTCTGATGATCATTTTATTCATTGGAATTTGATTGTGTATATAAATATATATTAAAATCATCTTAAATAGAAAAATGATCTTTTTATTGAATCATTATACAAATGAAATTCTAAAATTATAATCATTTTTAATATTTTATATTTCATAAATGATTTAATTCTTTCTTAATTTAATGAAAATGAAGATTTAAATTCTGTAATTTGCATTATTGTTTTGATGAAAAGTAATTAAAATAGCAATTTAGCTGAAACTAACAATATAAATGATGAAAACTAATAAATTAAGTCCTTAGTCAATCAAATTATGCAGTAAAATAGTAAAATACATAAATAAAAATCTAATATCAAAAGAGTGAAATGGAATTAAGAAAGTTCAGATTTATTTAATAAATTATATCATATGTTTTTGGGGGACCTTAACATGATACACTCATATTTTTAATAACACACTGACTTTAAATTCACAAAAAAATAAATCAAAGTATAGAATTCTTATTAATTCATAGAAATAATTCATATAACAAGTTTAAAATTTAACTAAATCAAATAGTAAATCAATGGATGAAGAAATATATGCTAAAATATTTGATTCTTAGTAATAAAGTCTTTCAAACAGTAATTATTGTGAAGATCCAGAATAGAGTGCATTAAGTGATATAAAGAGTTATTAATCAAGCAGTTTTTGAATGGATTATTTATATCAATAATTATTCTCTTGATTCAATAAAAAATGCAAAAAATATCATTCACCATTTAAAGGAATCTTATAAATAGCCATTGCTACAATTCCCATATCAACTCCCATATGAAATAACGAAGTTGTTAACAATCCAAATTTGTCTCTTGTAATAAAAAAGATTCTTCCTCCTATTGCTATCATTATGAAACCAATTAAGGAAATAATGAATAATCTAATATATAAATCAATGACTTTAAAAAATATACTTTGTAAAAAAATAAATAACAAAAAAATGATATAATGCATAATGCAAAGCCAAATACCATTTAAGTTATTCATTATAATTTATTTCTTCGTGTTTAATATATTAATCTGGCAAATAAACTCTCCAGAAAAATTCTTCCAAAAAAGGATTTGTAATTGATAATAATGTTAATGCTAATATTAAAGAACATTTGCTTCCTTTTAATGTTTTAATTGCTTCATAATCCAAAATATCATAATATTGAAATACAAAATATCCTAATATTACTGTTGCCAAAAATGAACAAATTAAAAATAATAAACCGTAAATAATTTCACTTATGTAAAAATCAGTTTTGATTAGTTTTGAATAATGCTAATTCTAAATTTATAAACTAATCAAAGGAATAGCTAATAAGGTTATAATTTAAAATGCTAATTAACATCCCAATGGCATTTTTAGTACCCATAAAAAAAACAAAACCCAAATGACAGGAGATATCATTAACAATTCTAAGAGTAAAATTTTTGCAATTGTCAATTTTGGTTTTTAATCAGATAGTTATACTATTTCTTCATGTTATTCTTCATCATAAACTTTTGAATCCATTTATAAANTGATGAAAACTAATAAATTAAGTCCTTAGTCAATCAAATTATGCAGTAAAATAGTAAAATACATAAATAAAAATCTAATATCAAAAGAGTGAAATGGAATTAAGAAAGTTCAGATTTATTTAATAAATTATATCATATGTTTTTGGGGGACCTTAACATGATACACTCATATTTTTAATAACACACTGACTTTAAATTCACAAAAAAATAAATCAAAGTATAGAATTCTTATTAATTCATAGAAATAATTCATATAACAAGTTTAAAATTTAACTAAATCAAATAGTAAATCAATGGATGAAGAAATATATGCTAAAATATTTGATTCTTAGTAATAAAGTCTTTCAAACAGTAATTATTGTGAAGATCCAGAATAGAGTGCATTAAGTGATATAAAGAGTTATTAATCAAGCAGTTTTTGAATGGATTATTTATATCAATAATTATTCTCTTGATTCAATAAAAAATGCAAAAAATATCATTCACCATTTAAAGGAATCTTATAAATAGCCATTGCTACAATTCCCATATCAACTCCCATATGAAATAACGAAGTTGTTAACAATCCAAATTTGTCTCTTGTAATAAAAAAGATTCTTCCTCCTATTGCTATCATTATGAAACCAATTAAGGAAATAATGAATAATCTAATATATAAATCAATGACTTTAAAAAATATACTTTGTAAAAAAATAAATAACAAAAAAATGATATAATGCATAATGCAAAGCCAAATACCATTTAAGTTATTCATTATAATTTATTTCTTCGTGTTTAATATATTAATCTGGCAAATAAACTCTCCAGAAAAATTCTTCCAAAAAAGGATTTGTAATTGATAATAATGTTAATGCTAATATTAAAGAACATTTGCTTCCTTTTAATGTTTTAATTGCTTCATAATCCAAAATATCATAATATTGAAATACAAAATATCCTAATATTACTGTTGCCAAAAATGAACAAATTAAAAATAATAAACCGTAAATAATTTCACTTATGTAAAAATCAGTTTTGATTAGTTTTGAATAATGCTAATTCTAAATTTATAAACTAATCAAAGGAATAGCTAATAAGGTTATAATTTAAAATGCTAATTAACATCCCAATGGCATTTTTAGTACCCATAAAAAAAACAAAACCCAAATGACAGGAGATATCATTAACAATTCTAAGAGTAAAATTTTTGCAATTGTCAATTTTGGTTTTTAATCAGATAGTTATACTATTTCTTCATGTTATTCTTCATCATAAACTTTTGAATCCATTTATAAAATAATTATATAAACAAATTGATAGAAATTTATAATATGATAATGTTTAGAAATCAATACTAATTGTTTTATTAGTGCAAGATTAAAATTTATAATTATCCTTATAAAAAAAAAAACAAAAATTTATCTAATTTAATTAAACAATATATTTCAACAAATAATGTTGAATAGAATTTATAGTTAAATAATCAAAATTTATTTATTAATTTCAAGGATAAAAACTATTTAACAAATTTATATAGAAATACTTATTGTATTTTTTAATAGATATTATTAATCATAGTTTATAATTAATAGCTTAATTATAATTAAGTGGAATAGGATTTCTTTGCTTTTGAAACATACCTCCATAGTCTTTCGATAGTTCTGATTTCTTCACATGTCTTTACAGATATGATATATCAGATAAGGGTAAAATTAAGTAAGAGTACGAACCTTAGCTTAACATACCTATAACTTCAGACGAGATTTTTTCCAAACTTATGTTTATTAAAATGAGTTTTCTTACATTTAAAAAATAATGTTTGTATGTTAAGTTGGCTATAAAATTTAGAAAAATTGGGTTTGCTGATTCTTATTATAAGTCATAAACAATAATTATATGATTATTTAATTTGTTATTTATAGCAATTTCATAAAATAAATACTCCAAAAAATATAAGAAGTATTATTAAACATACTCTGTGTTTATTTTATCCAATTTTACACATAACACTAAACCTTTATTAAAATCAATGCCAATTATTTATATAGCTTACTTTAATGGTTCATACTCTATTGATCTTATACTTTATCTGAATTCTGTATTTTCTTTAATTAATTAATTGATTTTCTCAAAATTATATTATTGACTAACTAATAGATATCTACATAAACTCAAATCTAAACAATGGTTATGCTTAGATAATTTAATAATTTGATGTGTGATAGTAGTAGAAAATGGATCAAATTTTTTATCATACATTTTAGAATAGTATTGCATTACTTATATTGAGATTGGATGGAGAAAAGAATTTCTTATTTTTTCTGTAGCATGTTATCGTTAGAATTAAGAAGGCCTATCTTTATTGTCTTAAATCTTAATTTGATTTTCTCTTGTTAAACATGTGCTTTCAAAGCTTCCCATTAAAATAAATTAATTAAAAAACTATAGATTTATATGTAAAAGTTTATAATAAATTATGAGATATTTATTTTTTTATTTAATTATTTCAAATTTATAAGAAAATATCCTAAAAGTATTTTAATTTTATTTTTTATGTAATATTTGATATAATGATTTTAAAAAGAAATGATATTTTCAAGTATCTATATAATTATCAAATTACATCAGAGTAATTAAAGATTTTTACAATACCATCTGCTCCTCCAGTTGCTACAAATTAATTATTACTTGCTATAGTATAAATACTTTCATCATATTTTTATTTGTGTGCCTAATCAAATTTAATAAAGAATTTACTGGAATTTCATGTAAACATTAAAATTTTCTTATATCCCATGTTCTAAGACTTCCATCATGACTAACACTTGCTAATTAATAGATATTTTTTGGTAGTAAACATAAATCAGTTACAGCATCAGTATGTCCTATAAGAGTTTTGCAAACTTTACTAGTATTGATATCAGAAAATCTTATTTTATTATCATCATGACCAGATACAATATATTTGAGTTCATTATTAAATAATACTCTATTAGGTTAAGCAAATAGATTAAATTAATTTTCAGAATCAAATCTAATTTATTGAATAGCTTTGACACTTGTAACATCATAAACTATAAATGTTAGAGTATCACTATAACCACAAATTATTGTTTCATTAAAACCTTTGCATATCCATTCAATTGCTGTTGGAATAGACAATCCAGTCATTGATTTCTTAAATGTAAAATTAGCTAATGGATTCTACAACATTTCAAGATTTAAATTTCCTTTTTTGAGTAAATCATTTTAATAACAAACTCCAAGGGATTTCCACATCTTTACTGAACCATCTGCTGAGGATGATAATAATCTTTAATCATGTGGATGATGTTTTAAAGACCAAATTACATCAGTATGTGCATGCCAAGAAAAATACTAATCTCCAGATCCTATATATGTTCTAATAGTTCCATCAACTCCTGCTGAATATAAATGTATATATGGAGTCTTAGAATAGGCAGTCATTGTAAATATTGGTCTATCATGTTCTTAACATAATTTTTAAGAGAT